AAGAGTGACAAAATAACAAAGAAAATTATTAATAAAAATGATAATGGCATTCCTATCACAGATAACACATGATAAAGATTTTGGTATAAATGATCTTTCCTTGCACTTAGTAAACTAATGAACATGGCAAAGGTCTCCAGGTGAAACACCTTGTTCTGCAGGAGTCTTTTAAACTCTAGTAATGATGATGACAGTTCTTCCTCTAAGAGGCCTAAGGTGATCTGTGAAAATTCTTCACTTATTCACTTCGGCCCAGAAACACCACAAAATCATGCAAATCAAGAGGTTTCAGTTTTCTATTCATAAGGACATTGATGAAACTACCCAGGCCATCAAGTATATGCATGCTTACAAAGAGCACCAAGTGTCTAGCTGTCACTTTACGGAAGCAGTGTATAACATTTCAGTGTTGCAATGGAGAGGCTGGCAAGTGTGCCCAGAGGCCCGAACAGTTGGGCTGAACACGAGGTCGGTGGCCCAAATAGGAGTGCTGGATTTTAGATGCACATGCTTCAAAATGCAAAGAATAATGTTGAATGTAAGGGTTTAGGTATAGATTCTCCCATCATTAAGCATACCAAGTAATCAAAGCACCCAATTGAGCCATGGGTCTTGCAAGCTCGCATTATCAGATTAACCCTTTTTTGACCCCCACTGCCACATCAAGATGATTTTTTTGATAAAGGAACAAATTGTTCCTAAACCTGAGGATGAGGTTGCACAGGAGAAAAAAGATATACAGAAGAAAATAAAGAGGAAAAAATACCTATGGCACCAGAATAAATTCAGCATAAAAGTAAATGCAATTGTGAGTAAACATATTTTTAAAAAAAGTGTTTTATCTGGAACATTGATTGGATGAAGGCACCAATACAGACCTGAGATAGTGGCATCCTGTTGGCACAGTTGATGCCCCCAGTGAAGACCATGTTAAGCATGATCAGCCTGGGGTAGCCTATCACAAAGTCCCCTCAGAACAGCCACACGGATGGATGACTGAAGATCTGCACAACACCTCTCTCTAGAAAAAGCTCAGAGGCAAGGCTTGCATAAAGAGCAGAAACAGCGCCATGGAAATGTAGCACAGAGACCCAAGGGGATAGGCGTGTTCTTGACTCTGCAGGAATGTCATGTGGTGTGAATTGGTTATTAATAACTTAAGAATACAGGAGGAAGGATTTGGACATTGTGTGCCCTTAAAGTCTAAGTCATATGGAATGTTCCTGAACAAAAAACACAACAGGAATCGACAGGTACTTAGCCAGCACCATCCGGCAGACAGAAATGGGGTCTGTTAAAACCACATCAAAGGAAGTAGCATTCAGGTGCCATTGGGGCTTCATTATGCAGTAACTCCACACAAGACCTATGAAAGACCAAAGACATATTGTTCATAATTGCCGTATTTCTGAAAATGTCTTTGAAGATGGTCTGTTCAAAGAACCATTGAGTGTGGCCCAGCAAGCGATCAAATTCATCCTGGGTCACGGAATGGCATGGAGTTGTCAGGTGAAAAGTTCTCTTCTTTCATGTGCATATTCACCTCCGGGGTGAGGACCACCGCCTGGTGGCCTCTGGCATGGAGCTCCTGCACGGCTCCCGCATGCTGAGCCAGTGGCTGCCATCCCAGTGGGCACCACCAGCACCTTCCCACTCTCAGCCCAGGGCTGGACACTGAGAGGAGCAACAGTCCTATGGCCAGCCGTAGCAGGAACAGAATCCTGTGGCCATCTGAGCAGAAGCCATCAGCTTATTGACTGTCCACCCACGCTGTGCCTCCTACATTTGTTTTCTTCATCTTAATTACCTTGTCACTGTGATACACCAACCCAAACCAACGTGTAAATTGGAAGACAGAGCGCCCTCCTCCAGTTACCCAATACCCATTAATCTATCATTGCCTTTCATTATGGGCCCCACCTCGGGAAAGACTGATCGCCTCCTGTCTTGAAAAACTCATCTGACCTTTCACGCGCTCACTCTGGGAACATCCAAGTTCAAACTCTTGTTTCTCATCCAATTCTCAAGAAAGCCTGCTTAGTAACCATTTAACAATCACAGCCTCCTACTTCACTGTTAACCACGTTTATCAGGCTGCAGCTGAGATCTGAGAGGTCACCAACAGTGGTAGGCAATGGTAAGGCAATCACATTCAGCTCATGAATAACAACAGAGAACCACTACCTAACCAATCCAATAAATCTCTGTTCTGGAACCAAAGCAGAATCCATTGCTAATTTCCTCATCCACCAAATATTTATGGAGCATTAGCAGAGCCCTACTGTATGCCAGTCACTGTACTAGGAATTAGGACCAGAAGGCCAAGTTAGAAATGGTCCTTGCCTGAAAGGAGGTCAGGTGGAGCGGAGACAAATTCATGAACAGGCAATTACAGTGCACATGGTGCTCATAGGGAGCTTAGAAATCACACAGCAGGGCAGCAATGCTGATGATGCTACTTTGAGGAGCTACTAAAAAGAGTGACATGTCCACAGAGAGAGTGTTTCTGGAACCCTTTTGAAGGTACTTTCTTTTTAAGCTGAAGACCTAAGTTAATAGGCCACCACTTCACACACTCCCAGCTCCTATCATCAAATCAGAATGAAGGGGCTTGTTACTGAGAACAACATAAACATGTCCATTTGCCCTGTGATTATCTACAGGACCCTCCAGAGGAAACAAGCCACCTTCCTTGAATCCCCACAACATTTTGTTCTGCTCGGCCTTACATCTTTTAGCAGTTTGCATATCTGTCGCACTATTAGACTATAGCTATATCTATACATCTATTCCTTATAGGCAAGATTGCAAGCTTTGGAATCACATCACTCAGGTGTTAGTACATGGTTTGGAGACAGTAAACACTCTGGACATGCTTCTGTATACAGTGACTCCTTCTCTTTTCGATTCTAGGCCTGTGTCCAAGTGGCAAGTAAGTGCTGAATCTGGATGTTTCTACCACTGTCTCTCAGACCCAGCTGCCATTGTCCTATTTCAGGGCCCCAGCCCACCAGTTCCCCAAACCCCAGCTGTCCCTTCTGAATCACTGCATTGGCTGCCAACTGAAAAACCCCACATCACCACCACTTCTAGAACCCAACCGATCCAACACTTCCTGGGCACAGAGAAAATTCAGACTCCTCTGCCTTACTCTCAAAACTCTGGGATAGACCCCAGTCCCCCTGTCCAAGCTCATTCCTCCTCTCTAGCTCTTCTGCTTGCCCCCTCCCTCTGCCTCTTACCCTCAAGCCATTCTGGATCACTTGTTGTTCCCCAAACTTGCTTTGATGTTCCCAAATTGCTTTGTTCACACTGAACTCCTACCCTCAACCAGCTTACTGGCTGTTCATTAGTGCTTGCAAGTGCCAAGTCCAGGATTCAGATTATGTCACTAGAGTTATATAAACTCAGAGTTTGTTCTGGTGAGATAACATATCCCCATTAGCCTAAATACCCTTTATGAACTCTTACAATGTTCTTTGGTTAATCATTTTCCCTTTAGAACTGAGTGACCTTTACTAGTGTAATGCCTCACAATTTATCAAAGCAAATAATCCAGTGTCAAAAAGAGAATAAAGGAGAGGTGAAGAGAACTCAGATCTCGAAAAAAATATCCCTCAAAATTCATGGTCGCGGCATGCGCGTTCTAGTGAAATAATCACTGCATCCCAAGTTTATAGCATGCCAGTGTATGGCTTCGATACAGTAACTAGTGCTGTATTTCCTTTTGTCTGAGAGGATCTCCCTGGTGTTTGTTTTAGCAGTCAAGAAAAGTGAATAACACATACAGTTGACCCTCCATATACTTGGGCTTCACATCTGCAGATTCAGTCAACAGCAGATTGAAAATATTTAGAGGAGTAAGAGAAATGAAAAAAAAAAAAACTACAAATAATACAAGAAAAACCAATACTGTAAAACAACTTTTTACATAGCATTTACATTTATTAGGTAAAAGTAATCAGAGATGTTAGTTTAAAGGATATGGGTAGGTTATATACAAATACTGTGCCATTTTATAAAAGGAGTTTGAGCATCTAGATTTTGGTATGAGGAGGATTATCCTAAACTAATCCCTTCAGAATACCAGGGACTACTGTACTAGACTAGCAGGTCTCAAAGAATGAGCCAGAAATCCTAGGGATCCCCAAGAATTTTTCAGGAGAATTTTGCAAAGTCAAAACTATTTCCATAATAATGCACTACTTGACGTTTTCACTGTATTCTCACAAGGTGTACAGTGGGGTTTCCAGAAGCTACATGGGTGATGTGTAATATCACAATATAGATTGAATGCAAGAAACGGCTTGTGAGAATCCAGCTATTAAACCAAAAGTACAAAATGGAGATGCAAAAAATGAAACATGCCCTCTCTTCTCTACATTTTGTCTCAAAAAGTTAAATAAAAATAAGATTTGATAGTGTGTCATGGGTTTCTTATTAAATTGCCCAACGAATATGTCTTTTAAATTCTGTTTTAATCTCTAATGCAGTACATATGATAGGTATAATCCATAGACTAAAGCAAAAGCGGTACAAGGGGCTGGAGCTGAGAACTGCAGTCCTAAACAACAGGATGTCTTCAGCCCTGGTCAGACTAAACTCACTCCCACCACCCTCTTCCCTCCTGTGGCCGAGGAAAAGACTGATACTCAAGCCAACTTTACAGAAAGCAGTTCTTCAGGCCTTCCAGAACAACCCCTTCTCTTTCCCGCAACCTTATTCCCACCCTTTTTGGAGACCGCTGCTGGGCGGGCTGGAGTGGGGCCAGGCCTGGTGGCTGGGCATCACAGGCCTCACAGAGAGCAGGGCCAGTCCCAGCAGCACTGCATCCTGGGAAGCGAGGCGCTCATAGGCCTCGACCAATGAGGTGTGGCTGCGTCACAAGGGCGTCCTCCAGGCGACCCAGGTGGCAACCACTCGAGGCCGCGCCCGGGAAGGCGCAGCAGGTGTCCCGCTCGCTGCGCCGGTGCCCGCCCGGCCCGTTCTGGGCGTCCAGCATGGTGGACTACTACGAGGTGCTGGGCGTGCCCCGGCAGGCCTCGACCGAGGCCATCAAACACCGCAAGCTGGCACTCAAGTGGCACCGGACAAAAACCCGAGAACAAGGAGGAAGCAGAAAGGAGATTCAAGCAGGTGGCGAGGGCATCGAGTGTTGTCGGACGCCAAGAAGCTGTGATGTGTCGGCCGTTATGGCGGCGGGGCGGAGGAGTAGCTGCGTGGCATTCGAGACCTTGAGCACATCTTCAGCTTCCGCGACCGGTCGAGGTCTTCAGGGGAGTTCTTCGGTGGCCAGGACCCATTCTCCTTTGACCTCTTGAAACCCAACTGGAAAATATTTTGGGAGGTCGGAGGAACTCGAGAAATAGAAACGGAGGGTCTGCACCTTTTCTCTGCCTTCAGTGAATTTCCAGCTTTTTGGGGGTGGATTTTCTTCTTTAACAGTGCAGGATTTAGTTCCTTTGGCTCCCTGGGAAGTAGGGGGCCCTCACTTCGTCTCTCCATGTCTACGGTAGTGATGGGACAGGCAGCTTCAATCCATGTCGACTTCCACTGAAATATTGATGGCAAAAATGCCACAAGAGAATCATTGAGAATGGCCAGAAAGGGTGGAAGTGGAGGAAGATGGAAGTTCAGTTAAAGTCCTTCATAATAAATAGCAAGAGCAGTTGCTCCGCATTGACACAAATAATTCCAGTCCACATTTGACTTAAAGCATATCTGGAGGAATAGCGGACTTTTTTAGGAGAATTGAAAGTGAACTGCTTTCAGAAAAACTGCAAGAATTTATAAACGCTTTATGCCAACGCCTATATTGTTGGGACTACGGATAGTACCTCTGTCTTTCAATCGTTGTAAATATATATGTAACTTTTAACATTTATTAAACTTAAGCCTGGGGCGGCAATGTTTATTTCCTTGTGCTAGGACAGAATGTTCAGCTCAGCACTGAGCCTTCCCTTTTTCCGTTAGGACCCAGTGTGAACCAGGTGGTTTTGCTCTGACCATTTTGACCAGTTTTTTAGTGTGTAGTAGTGAAATCTATGACTATATTAGCACTTCTGAATTAATTTAATGATGGCTTTTTAGTTGCACATAAATGCTGGTGATGTGGAGAAAAGTTGACCATTATCCCTAGATAAAAGTTAAGCAGACTTTTTAAAAGTAAGTAAACCTGGTAAAATTGGATCCTTAGTTTCCTATCACTGCTGTATTTCATTACCACAAACTTAGTGGCTTAAAACAACATGTGTTTATTCTCTTAGTATTTTGGAGGTCAGACATTTGAATCCCATATCACTGAGCTGAAATCAGTGTAAAGAAGCATGTTCCTCTGAAGGCTGAGGACAGGCCTTGGGGTTACATGGTTGGTTAATGGTATACTAGGACTGTCTTCAGCCCTAACGTGGTTTCTCAACTGTGGTGAGTTGCTGGGGATAGGCCCCCAAATCGGCCAAGCTGGCCCCCAAACTAAGCCATAAACAAAATCTCACACAGCACTGCTTGAGCATGTTCATGATGGTCATGATGCCCACACTGAAGGTTGTAGGTTTACTGGAATGAGGGCAAAGGGAACACCACAGCCAACCCAGGAGAAAACTGCTTCAGGCATTCCCTGGAAAACCACAAACAATAGCATGAGCCATCTGTGCCTTAAGAACTATGTCCTGCTGCAGATAACTAGCTGAACACCATTGCTTTGTTTTGGCCCTATCCCTTTGTTTCCCATAAGGAGATACTTTTAGTTAATCTATAATCTGCCCAGTGATGCTTATCACTGGCTTATTTGTCAATATGTGGGTAAATCTCTTTTCAGGGCTCTGAGCTCTGAAGGCTGTGAGTTCCCTGATTTCCCACTCCACACTCTACTATTCTGTGTGTGTGTCTTTAATTCCTCTAGCTGCTGATTTGAAGTCTCCACAACGAGCTGGTCTCAGCAGTAGGTCCTGGAAATGTGAAAAAAGCATTTCCATAAGGCCACACAGAACTACCTTATTGCTATGCTTGGGGCATGCCAGATTAGATAGAAGACAAATGTATCTGTAATATTGTTTCGGTGAGTCATCATACACACAACTGAGAAAGTACCTTTCTGTTGGCACAGGTTATGCCCCAAATGAAGACCTTTAGGGCATGTTACTTGCGGGTAGTCCATCACAAAGGGTCCCATCTTATAGGGTCAACTCTGAGGGAAGGTTTGCATAAGGCATGAAAGCAAAAGGACAACTGAACTAGACAGGCTAGAAAAATTGAGAGCAGCATGCTGGTAATTTTTACAGAAAAATGTCCTTAATACAAAGACATCATTAACCAACAAGGGCTGATAATGGATTTGGATATGCTCTGCAGAACCCTCAGAGTCCAGTCTGCATGGAATGGCACCAAGCAATAAACAGAAGGAACATGGCAGTGGAGGCTGGCACCATCACAGGGCACACAGGAATCTCACACTGAACTCTGAAATCAACATGCTACGAGGGTGCCTGGTGAATTGCTTTATGCAATAACCATACAAGAAGTATCAGAAAAGATAGACTGTCAGGGCTTTTGAAAAACAGAGTTCATTTTTAGTAAGCCAGATGAGGAAGTTACATGTGTGAAGATACTCACTGAGTAGTTTGCTGGGGGTAGGTTTGCTTTTGGAGCAGTTCAGGGATAGAAAGAGTTTTGAAGAGTGGTAGGCATGGGCAGTTTCATAGTGGTTTTGTGTATTTGGAAATCACCACTCATTGTTAAGATGAATTGGTGTGTACCTACAGGAGTTAGTTACATAAATCTCATTGTTCAGTGGTCAACCAAGAGTGGCACACCAGTGTCACTCAGAGTAAATGAGTCTATAACAATTCACAGCTAGTTTAACAGCTGAAAGAAAACATAAGTTCAATTTGATATCCTGGATTAGTGCTATAAGTAAATGGAAAGTGTTGCTTTTACAGAAGTGTAAAGCTTGTTTGTTTGTTTTAAAGACATGATTTCGCTCTGTAGTATTGCTTAGGCAAGATGATATCTCACTGTAACCACGAACTCCTGACCTCGAGTGATCCTTCCTCCTCAGCATTCCCAGTAGCTAGGACTACAGACATGCTATCACACCTAGTTGTAAAAATATATATATCTTTTTGTAGAGATGGGAGTGATATTGACCCACTATTTTTTCCCAGCAAGAGCTTATTGTAAAATGTCTCAGCTCAAAAACAGAAGAGTGCTAGAGGCCTGTATGTGGGTATTCTGTCTTTTATAAAAGAGTTTGATAAGGTTTTCAGAGTGGAAAAAGGGGCATTTCCTCTGGGTACAGATGACCATCTGAGATCCTAAAATAGATATCTTCCATGGAAACACGGTACCTTCTCACCAAGCACACCAGGCAAGGGAAAGGGAATGACCCTCTTGAGCCCCAAGAGATCTGAGGACTGCCTAACCATTTCAGTAGGGTCCAAAAAGTCAAAATGCCAGACATTTTTTCTGGCTGGAGCTCAACACAGCTAGTTTAATTCAGCTTACATCATACACTGGAAAGCATCTGGAAGAGGAATGATCCTTTCATCCATCATCTTCTTCCCCCTCTGATTCCACTTTCTGTCTCAAACAGTAGAGAGACTTTCCCATCTTGAAATCATTCACCACAACAGCTTACCTTTCTAAAGGAATTTCTAATGCCACTTTGTCATCAACTTTCTCCAATATGCAGATTCATTTCCTTTTCTCAGACTCTCCTTTAAACCCTTTCAGTATAACATCAATCAGCACCAATGTTGTATTAGTCTGTTCTCACACTGCTATAAGGAGCATACTCAAGACTGGGTAATTTTATAAAGAAAGAGGTTTGAATTGACTCCTGATCCCACATGACTGGAAGCCTCCCAGAAACTTACAATCCAGACAGAAGGTGAGAGATAAGCAAGGCATGTCTCATATGGCAGCAGGCAAAGAGAGAGAGGAAGGCTTGTGAGTGAAGGAGGAAGAGCCCCTTATAAAACCATCAGCTCTCATGAGAACTCACTCAACAGCATGACAAAAGAACAGCATGGGGAAAACTGCCCACATAGTCCAATCCAGCTCCTACCAGGTCCCACCCTTAACACATGGGGATTATGAAGTACAATTTGGATAGCTGAGATTTGGAGGTAGAAACAGAGTCAAACCATATCATTCTGCCCTGGTCCCTCCCAAATCTCATGTCTTTTCACATTTCAAAACCAACTGTGCCTTCCCAACAATCCTCCAAAGTCTTAGCTCATTTTCAGCACTAACTCGAAAGTCCATAGTCAAGGTCTCATCTGAGACAAGTCAGAATTACTTCCCCTATGAGCCTGTAAAATCAAAAACAAGTTCTTGCTTCCAAAAGACAAAATGGGGTACAGAAATTCGGTAAATGTTCCCACATTCCAAATGCCGAAAGTGGCCAAAAGGGGCTACAGGCCCCATGAAGTCAAACAGGCAGGGCAGTCATTAAAATCTTAAAGCTCCAAAATGATCTCCTTTGACTTCATGTCTCACATCTAGGTCAAGGTGATGACAGAAATGAAGCTCCCATTCAGAGCAGCTCAAACCCTGTGACTTTGCAGGGTAAAGTCCCCTCTATGCTGTCTTCAGGCCCTCAGCATTGAATGTCTGCAGCTTTTCCGAGCACATAGTGTAAGCTATTGGGTCTACTATTTTGGGGTTCTGGAGGATGGTGGCCTTCTTCTCACAACTCCACTAGAGCAGTGCCCAGGTAGGAGACTCTGTGTGGGGGCTCCAGCCTCATTTGCTACCACCCTGCACTAGCAGAGGTTCCCCATAAAGGGCTTCACCCATGCAGCAAACTTCTGCCTGGACATCCAAGCATTTCCATATACCCTCTACAATTTATGCGGTGGTTCCTAAACCTAAATTTTTATCTTGTATTCCTGTGACCCAACACCACTTCGATGCTGCCAAGACTTGAGGCTTGCACCCTCTGAATCAATAGCCTGAGCTGTACCTTGGCCCCTTTTAGCCATGGCTGGAGTCACTGGGACACAGGGCACCAAGTCCTGAGGCTGCACACAGCACAGGGGGCCTGGACCCAGCCCACAAAACCATTTTCCTTCCTTAGGCCTCCAGTCCTGTGATGGGAGGGTCTGCTACAAAGGTCTCTGACATGCCCTGGAGCAAATTTTCCAAACTTTATGCTCTTAAGCTTCCCTTTTAAACCCTAAATTCCAATTTCAGATCACTCTCTCTCTAGTTAAGTAGTTCCACAGATCTAGGGCTTGGAACAAGAAGTACCACCAGTCTCTTTGCTAAAGCATAGCCAAGAGTGACCTTTGCTCAGTTGCCAGCAAGTTCCTCATCTCCATCTGAGACTCAGTCTGGACCATTGTCCACAACATTATCAACATTTTGGTCAAAACCATTCAACAAGCCTCTAGGAAGTTCCAAAC